CTACAGTATTCCCTGTTTCTGATCTGATGCTTGAGCAGCAGACAGCTGAGGTATTCAATTTATATGCTTTTTTTTTTTTTTTTAATTCATTACATTATTGTTTATTGTTAACGTTATTTTGATGTTGATTTGCAGATAACATTGCCAGTGTGCATACGCGCTTCTTACGATAACTTATCTCCAGAAAAAGCATATATAATTTTTAACGGTATCATGATGTTCTTATGGATCGGTTTAAAGGTATCACAGGATTGGATGCAAGATGTTTTTAATTCCAACTCAGTCGCACATCTCAATGTGGACAATGTGTGTCTTTGAAATAGTTCATTTGGAAATTTGAATATGCTACAATTATTTCTCTAGTTTTATTCGTTTAACTTTTCCTTCATTAAATAAATGTGTTTCAGCATGTCGTACCGGAACGTGACAATGCACGGTCACGTGCTCTACATTATGTTATTAATCGGGTGAATTTGAATCGGTTGCGACATATGAAACTATTCTTGATTCGACAACAAGATGCATTAGAAGCTTGGATGAAAAAATTTTTAGTTGAAGATCGTACATCTAGCATGCCCTCATATGTGGACTATTTATGTAACATTCATCGTGAAATTAGAAGTTTGTTGACTTGAAGATGGCATGTTTTCATGTTTTCCATTTCCGTATTTTGTTGCCATCTTTTTATTCGGGGAATTGGTTTATCAGTTGTTAATATTAAACTTTGTAATGTGATATACTGACTGTGACAAACGCCATATCTTTATAATAAAACCAGCGCTTAAAGCATCTTTTTATTTTAGTTTAACGGGATCTCTTCGTCGGAAACTAAAATGTTGTTTCTTTTACATTATAGTGTTTACCAATTTACTATTTTGTAGACCACTATATTGAAGCTCTGGAATGATATTTTCTTACCTTCATTGTATTGTGAGCAATGATTTTAATGGTAATTGTTTGCAAATTATGGTTATTGATGGTCATGACGAATAATGCGATGCATGAGCCATTGTTTGGCATTTGCACTCACTCACTGTATGCTATTCCGCACTTCGTTTCATTTTCCGACTGAGTCCATGTTTGCATCATCCTTTTCGTTGTGACTGTACTGAAAAGCCTTATTTATATTCATGATTTATATTTATATTCACGCTTAGTTTTATCTTTTTCTTAAAGTGATTTGTTTTCTAATAAATTCATCACTTCCAGTTGCGCCGCTTAATTTCGTCCTGACTGGTCTTGGTATAGATATTCCTTAAGTAGCTAATTTGTTTGTATATAAAATTAAAGTAGGCAGCGTTGTTGGTTAAGAGAAGTGGAGGGAAGTTTGCAAATAAAGTTCAACATTAGATTTTCTGAAGAGTTAGTACTCTGGTTTAAATTGGATGATGCGATGGGGATTGCATGTTGATATATTAGGAGTTAATCAGCGTGACAGTAATGGGACAGCAGTAGCAGTTCAGATTCTTATTTCATGGAAATAGGATTGTCAAGAAGTTGGTCATGAATTGGTGTTGTTCATTCCATAGGAGAGATGAGGTTTGCGTCTGAGACTAGACTTTGTGATACGGGACATTATTTGGGAGCTGGTTACACAAGTTTTTGTATACACGTGATTCCATTTTGTATTTATTCCGATCTAGTCTTTCGCGACGTTGCTAGTGGTGGATATAGTTGGAGAATTGTACAGGTAGTTTTTCCAGTAACTAGTAATTTTGTATGTTCCAGATTGAAAATTTATACTTGTAACTCCGGCGTATAAGTGTGCCATCTCATCGTATTTATCTACTCGCTGTGAAGTACATAGTGCAGGGTACAGATATGATTATAAAGTAATTTGCAGTGTTAGGGACGAAAGGGCGGAAGATATTTGGACATTGCAATGGGCGTCAACGAGCTGCAAGAGGAAAACGATGTATGCGAACGAAAATGAAGTATGCTGTAACGATGGATATGGGATTGGCTTTGGTTTTCGGTATATTGCAAAGGTGGTGGTATGGTTCTATGAAATATTAGCATTGTCATCGGATTTGTCAGAGATTTATTCGGCTGTCCAAATCTCAGATATTACTTTTTTTTCAGGGGCAAAAATCTTTCGTAATTCTAATGTATATGATAATTCCAAATTTACAAAATGCTCATTCAGCGTAATCTTTATTTAAAAGAGAGAATTGGAATGCTTCAACCGCGTTGATGTCTCTCATAGTCCTATCTCTCTTATTGATTTCCTTTGCAGTGCTCCTTAAACTGGGTTTTTACAAGTTTATTTGTAAATAAATGGTGTGCTCTGACAAAATCTGTACATGCCAGTGCGGTTGTCGGAGTGCTTAACGGTTAGATGAGTTGCCACAAGTTTCATAGCGTCGTTTGTAACCACATCACTATTCTGAATTTAATCACATTGGTAATCTATCGTAAGCTGCGTAAATCATCTTATTTTTTCTCAGAGGTTATCAAAGAGTAGGAAAACAAATTCTTACCTAACAATAGAAGGCTTTTTTAGGATGTCGTGTTGGAAGAGCTTTATGGGATAGACAATGCCAAATCTTGCCATTGTTTCTCATCGAACATTTCTTTAATTGTGTTGTATAAAGCACTGTGTTATACATAACCATAGGAATGTTTACATGTATGTACTTTGTAGCCAGTTTTTATCTATCAATAACATTTCAGATCGCGTGCCCCGGCAAACTATGATAGTTCCGGGTCCAGAAGCAGTAGTTAATGATATCCGTAAGATGTCTCTAACCAAAAGCAAAACGACGCTCCACAGCTTTGATCATCTTGTCAAAGGTAAGCTGTATCTGTTTTTGATCTTTGATTGTTCCTCGTACAATTAGTTTTGCTTTATTTTAATTTTCTAGCAGAGACTAATTAGAATAGCACTTTTTCACTGTTCTAAGTCGTTCATGTTTAACTTGACACGCGTTTTTTTTTTTTTTTCAACCTAAGCTAACTGATTGAGTCTACAGTTAGAATTCTTTCGTCAACTGTTACTGTTCATGTGAATTATATGTTTGCTAGGAGCGCAAACATGAGTTGAACATAAGCATAAAGAAACATTCTGATCTACAAATGAAAGGTGGGAAAAAAATGAATGTAAAAGAGGAAATAATGTGGAAAAGGAATTTGAAAAGATCTTTTAATAGTTCATGCACAACTTGTGTAATATTCAAAATAATCCAATTTAGCTGTGCACATTACACTCCTTTTGTGGTCATTAAAGAATCAGTGGCATTATTAGATTTTTTTTTATAGATTTTGTTTCTGAGTTCCGCTGGATCATCTTTTAGAGATAACGTAAGCATTCGACAGATTTTGTTAATATTACATTTATATGTATATCGTTAATAATAGGTTTATTTGGCATAAGATGTCCAAGATGTAAGGCTGCTAATGGTGCTGTAGAATTTTCTTTTGCTTCCGTATATATATATTTTTCGCTTCCAATATTGCCAACAACAACGTATATAAGAAACAGTAGAAGATGAGAAAAAGAGCAGAAAATGGAAGATAAAAGAAGAAAGGATAATTCTTCATTATGATTATATTTATATAGTTGATGTGATGAAGCACATGCTTCAGATCGGAGTTTTGAGTCCTTATTGTTCTGTTCTGTTCCTGTTCCTGTCCCTGTTCTGGCTTGTGCTGTTTTGTTCTGCTCTGTTTGAACTTTTCGAAGAGTCGTCAGGCTTTTTGTTTGGCTCACTTCCTAACTACATTTATTATTTTCATTAGTTACGTTGTTGTTGGTAATATTATTAGCATACTGCAACGTTTGCTAATAGTGATTTCTTTGACCATATTTGGGTATATGTGATAAATTATGTGTGATTACATATCCTTCCATGTGTACGTATTTCGCACGTATCTATATTTTTGTTCACTTGTCCTTGTAGTTATATGTTTTGTGACAAGGAATGTTATGAAACGGTGTGTGTTTATATAAAATTTCTTGTTAAAACGTTCTGTCAAATAGCTTTCAAAAATAATATTCTGACAACGATATGCTTCAGGTGCTAACCCTGTTCTGCATTATTTTTATGCGAATTTCTGTATGCATGGTAGTTGTATGACCTCTGTAAATGAAGGTTATGGTCAGTTAGCTAAATTATTGTCAGTATTTTCTTCAACTGATGAATACCTGATAGTATTTACTAAGTCATTTCATTCCGAAACTATTTTATTCTTCACTCTGATGAAGTGAAAACTTGAACCTTGTTTACAGTTACTTCTACAGTGTAATGTATGTCACAGTTTAAGTTGGCATGATTTTTCCTACATGTGTTTGACAGCTTTAGAGCAGTGTAATAAAACGGTTAGCAAATCCGCTCCCAGATTTCAGTCATGCTACGAAATAATTGTATGCTGCAGCAGTAGATTGTTCAATTATGTAACCAGTAGTAAAAATAACAGCAGTGAGAATTTCAGAAACAGAATAAAGTTGTTAAGGTATTAATGAAAAAATGTTTTGTGTATTGTATTTTTTCAACACTGCTAACGTTTATTTTGTCAAAAATAATTTGGTCTTCTTAGTTGAATATTTTTTTCTATTATCCAGTAAGCACCCCATTTTGCGGCCCTTTGATGTGGCAATAATGATACTGTTTGCTTCTGTTCTGATCCATAATATCGACGGAAATTTCTTCTTATAGGGCTCGACTGTTTGTTTTATAGCTGTTGTCGCGAGAATGCAGCTGCATAATTGTTACAAGCATTTGCATCATCGTTGTACTGTCACTACTACGCATTTTTGATAGGAGATGTTTCATCTTTTACTCATGGATTTGAACATATACATCCACAAAATGAATGCCAAGATTGGGCGTAATTAGGAAATCTTATTTGAAATAAAGGGCATCTTCCGATGACTAAACATTAGTACCTAGAGGATCAGCTTTGCACAAATCGTAGCATGCTTCTCTTGACTAATTGGTATGCAACAAAAATTGCGATCTTCTGGATGAAAAATGGGTCGTTTTATTGCAAACTCCATGTTGTCATTGCATGCAGTTTGTTTGTGATTTTTCCAAAAGATCTGTTATATTTTCTTGTCGTTCTGGGTATACGCATTTTGAAGTGTTATGAATAGAGTCTTCCGCTATTGCTGTTAATATTTTGTGCTGTGTCTGCATAAATTTCGAGAAATCCAATGGTTCGGGCAGCGCTATGTGCAGCCAGTAGTCGTGCAGTTGAACATATTGTTGATATGAGCAGTAAGTTGTTAATCCGTCTTTGGCTCTTTGTGAAAGGGTTGACTGATACGAGATTTCCAGGAAATTGGAAGATTGAGCATAGCTGTTTTCGTTCTGTGAGTTCTTGTGGAGTGGGACTGATGATTTGACTGATGTTTTAAGCATTTGAGAGCATAAATCCATGCTTTTTTTTTTTTTTTTTTTTGGTTTAACTTTACTTCTACTGCCGTAAATTTAAGACAGTATTTTCCATGAGGAACACACAGCTGCAATAAAATAGTCATCTGCGGAAACTCAAGTTATTTTTTGAGACTGTTCGTTATGGTGAGACTCGAAAATCAAGTTATACATCTTTATTTTCATGTGGATATTTGGTATAAATATATGTGAAGTGCAATTAAAAATGAAGACTACCTTGTGTTCATCGCTTGAATTTTCAGAAATCCGTTCCCAACTAAATGACCAATTGCGTTGCTTGGAAACCCGAACGGAGGCGCAGGTAATTCACAGACTGTAGTTTCTTCTGCATAATTCCAATATTCTTGTAATTTTTCTTAAGTAGTACTTTATTATTTTGAAAATTTGGTTCGTAATAAGCTGTCTTGAATGCAATTGATTTTTGGAAATTTCATGTGAAGTTTCTGCAGACTGCTATTTTACTGGAACTAAATGATTACTATCGGAAGAAAGCGGAACTTGATGGCGAATATGGGAAGCAGCTTGAAAAACTTGCAAAAAATATTATGCAGAAACATAAAAATGAGCGGTATAAGTAGGTTTTATGTTTTTTGTCGATTTGTTTTTGCGAGTTACCCGAACTTCATAGAAGATAAAGTGAACTAGAGGACCAGTATTTTTTTCTTGGTTAGTATTTCTTATTAGATAAGTGATAAGGAGGTGTGCATAACAGTAAAAACACTGGTTCTAAACGGAATTTTAATTTGGAGCAATACAACAACAGTACTTTTTGTATTCGGAAAATTTTCTTTTGATATGCAAAAAAAAGGGCGTATGACTGGTTATGAAGGCTTTACGCTATGTTTAATTCCTTCGTTTTTTTCTTTTTTTTTTTGCATTGTACAAATCCTAATTTGATTGGCACTTTTTTTTTTTTTCACTTTCACTGAGTTTGCAGGCGTGATGCTTGGACTTTACATTCAACGTGTGGGCTATGGCAACAACTGGTGGATCACACAAGGGAGGAAGCTAAGCAGAAGATGGCTTTGGCTGATTTATACGCAGCTCGTCTTACAGTACTTATTACTCAGAGAGCAGATGATTTACAGCGTATTTCTCGAAAAGTATAACTTTTTCTTGTAGAGTTATCTTCATAGGTTAAAAATATATTCTATTCTTAATGTAGGACTAGCAAATGCGCGACTAATTGTCTATTTTCAAAGATTTCTGGTGCTAGGTTGGATGTGAATTTTGATTGTTAGTGTTAAAAACATTATTAACATAAGTCCGTGTGTGGAAATGTTGGGTGATAAGCATGAATGATTAAGAAATCCATTCTATATATTGATACAGAGAACCAAGAAAGAAAAAATTAATGATAGAACAATATATGTGATAAAAATGGCTTAGCCAAATATACCGGAATAGGTTACTGTGACGGATGAGATGAATTTGTTTGAGTACACCATCTCAGAGTCATTGTTTATTTTACTGTTTATTCTGTCTGAGTTTTCGTTTTCATAAATGTGGTATCATAGAAGCGTGCTCAAAAAAAAATAGAGGTGTACTCAAAAAAAAAAAAAGCTTTCATTTAAGTACCATCATGCTTGCTGTCAAGGCATTTAATCACCGCATCATTTACATTAATAGTAGACGGGATGCATTCTTCCTTTCATTAATGTGCATATCTGTAATGTATCCCTTGATTGTTTGCTGCAGAAAAAAACAGTTGTCTTCCTCATCGACTAATATGTTCTAACACTAACTTTTCTATATTTGTGGTACAATCTTTATTCGTCAAATATCTGATAGAGAAAATGACGAAGGCCATGGAAAGGGTTTGCATATAAACATGTTTCTGAAGTTTATGAGCTTAAATAATGAAGTTTTTAATGGAAAAAGATTTGAATATTGGTAATGAGCCGTTTATCTTTATAAGAATTTTTGACCAAGTTCTTTTACTTCTTCCCTACATTGCTTTATCATAATTTTCTTCACCCAGACTTTTGAAATGTGTTGTAATATTCTCGTTTTGTTCATAAGCTTGAGGATTTATATTTATATATTTCATTTCTGGTAATTTATCATCCCGAAAATAAGTCAGACTAACTTAAGCCTTCTATTGTGATTATCACTGTTACAGTGTCGCGAAATAGGAGCACTTGCTCACGGTGAAATATGTCGAGTGATAAATGAATTGCATACTGCCATGAGGACTTACCAAGTATGTTATCATTTTGAGATGATCATTTCCAAACTCTATGTGTCACTGACTTTAGGTATATTAATTATCATTTTGTGTAGGCAGTGTCTCATGTTTCAAGGTTTTATCAATAATGCTTTGTAAAATTGTATGCTTCAGGGTTATACATCCTCCAGTTTTCAGTCATAATTATATGAGTTCCCTTTGTTTATATGAATTACCTTTCAGAAAAAGTTTTCTTTTTACAGCTTTGTTTTCTTGAATGTTCATCTATAGAAAGCAAATTTCGCCAAGTTGAAGAAAATAAGGCAAAGTATGAAGAAAATAATCCAACGAAGCTCGGTATTACTCGTAAGCATCGGTGTTTAGCAAAGCTTTATAATAAGGTAAACTTTAAAAATTATTGCTGATAAGAGTTTAATAAGTTATAAGAATTTACTTTCTTTCTTTGTTTTATGAATTTATTTTTTAGAGGCTGGAAAAATACAATGCGATAAAACTAAAATGTTTAAAAGCCAGAAATGAGTATCTGTTATGTGTGCAGGCGGCCAATGCAGCTTTACATAAGTATTTTGCTGACGATCTTTCTGATCTCATCGATGTATGTTTTACACCATTCTAATAAAAAAACATTCATAATCCAGAAATTATTTCAATATAATTGTATTTTTATTTGGATATAAGAGTAATTTATTTGAATGTGATTGTAATTTTATATTTTTATTTGAAATAAATTATTTGAATATAATTGTAATTTTTTCAGTTGAAGGATTTTATATTGTGACTTATCAATAAATTCGTTTAGTGCATGGATCTTGGTATGGATCAGTGGTTACAGGGTTTTATAAATTGTGCAGTGACAGCGCGGAAAGATATGTGTCAAAAGGAAATGGATGCTTTAGCAGAACTTTGTGGATTTAAGGAATCACTTGATTCAAAGGCGGATAAACAACGGTTTATTGAAGCAAATCATGCGACTTTCATGCTGCCAAAACGATTCGAATTCAGGCAACATTTATGACGTGTTTTAAGTTCCCATTCGACAGAATATCAACTTAATTTGCTTGGACGAAACTTTTCTAACAAGTTCATTTCAAATCAAGTTATTTATTTGGTACTTTCTGTCCTTTTCTAACTGTATATTTTCAAAGCAAAATTTCAGGGGGCAGATTGGTGATGCAGTGTCTACAGTAAGTGCAACCGATGTCGTTGCTGAAGAACTGCAACAGCGGCATTTGCAAATCGAACGGAGACTTGCTAATGTGAGGTATTTAATTTTTGAAATTGACTTTCACTTCATATCATTTTAGGTTCAAACTTTGGCTAGATTCTGATGTGGTTTATGGTCCTTCACTAATGTTTTATTTTGCCAACCACAGGTATTTCTCAAAGGAAGCCCATTAACAAACAACGATTTCATTTTCCTTGTTAAATAATTTCAATTTTTAAGAATTGAGTCGGAAGAAATATGGAAAACCTTGGAGTCCACAGAAAAAGCGGTTGCTGAGCGTTTTGTGGAGGCGATGACTAGTTCGGTTGCATCTGCTGAAATTCCAAATGATACATCACGTGAAGATTGTAATGAGTCAAGCATTTACAACTTTAAAAGTAGACTAAATGCTAACGAATTATATGACTTTTATCTTGGGGTTAGTCTAATCATTTATATCAGGTCTTTTTTTTTTTTTTTTAGTACTGCTGTGTATAATTTAGGGTAATTCATTTTGGTACGAATCAGCTTAAACGGTTTTTTTTTTTTTTTTTTTTTTTTTTTTTTCAGAAATTCAGTCATTATATGCTGAATAGTAACTTAATCGAACGTCTAGAAGCACGGGCAAATGGAATTGCCTTAGCTTTGAACGGGTATTGCAGCAAAAGTTTTGATGGTAGCACCAGCTCTGTTGTTGTTCCTACCCCTAACTCTTTCTGTCGTATGTTTTTGAAATTTCGGTTTAAGTAATTATAGTTTAGAGCAAAAAACTAATTACAGTTTAAGCATTTTTCATATTGTCTCTTTTTCGGATCTTCTTGTTGATACTGTACGGTGAGGGAATATTATTTTCAGAAGATGGCGATGACAGCGCAGTCTTTCCTTCCGTTCGTAAAAGTGCGAAAAAAAGAATTGGCAGTGGTTTGCTATCAGATGGTATTAGGCGTCCGAAGCTCTTTGGCGGTAGTTTGGATGAGTATGTTGAAGCAACGGGAGAAACAATACCTCTCATTGTCACTTCAACTATACGGTTAATAGTAGTATATTGTCAGTCCATAGTTTTTCATATTATTCGATTTCATTGAACTGTCATCTGAATATTTTCAACTATTTTCTCTTCCAGTGTATTATCCCAATTCGCTTTACATCATCAAGGAATATTCCGTATATCAGGCTCACAAATTGAAATTAATATATTTCGAGAAGCATTTGAAAAAGGTAATAACACATTTAATTTTTTCTTTTATTCTCTTCTCTGGCCATGTAAAAATTAGCGTACTGGCGATACTATTGTAGGTGAAGATCCATTACGACATGTTGTTGATGCTACAGATGTCAATTCAATTGCGGGTGTTTTGAAACTTTATTTACGTGAACTTCGTGAATCCCTTTTTCCTATATTTCTTTTTGATCAGTTAACAGAGTGTGCGAAATGTTCAAATGCTGATGAATTCGTCAAACAGGTTTTTTCTGTTTTCTTTAATGAATACGTTGTTCTGAAAAGTTTAGATTTTGAGTTTGTTTAGAGCTTAGCTTTGAACGTTATCGTTTAGACTTTTGAACTGCTTTAATTTT